TGGTCAAGATATCACTGGAAACGAAGATGATTCAGTTTTTCGAAAATTGAAGGATTGTTTTTCAGATGGTTACCATGGTGAATGGGCAGGATTTCACAATAAAGGTTATCCAGCGTCTTCGAAGCATCGACACATGTTTTGGCATGTCAAGTACAGGAAGACCATGTCTCCACATCAAGATTATTGGTACCATCTTACAGATGACCAGTTGATGGTTGAGTACATTGCCAGACACAAGGATCAGAATCCACAACTAGAATTACAAGAACTCAATCAGCACATTGAATATGGTTGTAGTGATCCTAGGATGCATCCTCTTCATCAAGACAAAGCAGAATCATCCTCAAAAGAAGCAGAAAAGAGGATTGATGACGATTTTGGAAATCTCACAAAGGTACTCCAAGATTACGTTGAGGACCACAAGGTCTTACCTTACTGTATGATCTTGCATAGCTTGGCTTACAGATATTTAGGTGGAGGCCTATCAGACCCAACTTACAAGGATGCCGAATTTCCATATAGATCCTCTCCACAGATAACAGCAATGTTTTGGAATTTGGGAAACTGGTGCAGAAACAGATTTGAAAAATGCCCGGTTCCAGAAAGATTTCAACAATTCATTCCACACATTGACTACCCTATCGATGAGGATCATGAAAAATTTGATGAAACCAAATCACAGTTCAACAATTACTTCATCAATGTCATCAAGAACTTTGGAGGACATCTTTTCATGAATTGCGAGGCTGGTTCGTTGTACCCTCACAGAGAAAGACTCGACGAGGTTGACTTTAAAACTTGCTTCAATGACTATCATGACTTGATGGTGGCAGCTCGCCTTGGAAAGGATGGCTATATCAAGCAAATTGCTGGATATCAAACAGATGACAACGACACACGAGTTCGACAAGTCTCATGGGCAATCTTCGAAGTATCTTGGGGAAAGACAAAGGACCGAGATACAAATGAGATTGTTGACTTGACAAGAGCTAGGATGAGGATGACACGTGTGTGCGTTTATCACGTCGGACAGAAGTATGCATCAGACTCCGCTGGGATTGTTGGTGAATGCTTAGCTGTTATGGCTTTTGAGTGTGCCAGATATCAAGTTGACTTCATCGCAGGTGATGGAAACAAGGCATGCTATTACACCACACCAAAATCTCCAGGTGTCCCTACATACCAACACAGCCTTATCCAATTCTGGATCAACAGAATGGTGGGTGTTGCAACACAAGCCATGCGCAAGTATTTTGATTCATCTTGCCCTCCAATTAGGGTCAAGCATTTCATTTCTTGCAGTTATCGTGACTTGGATTTTCTTGCAACACACTTGGATGGCATTACAACAGCAACATACACCGACGAGCTCATGAACAAGACAAATGGGAAAGGTGATTGTTGTATGTTAACAGTTGTTGAGTGGGGTCATTCACGTTTGATGTGTCAGGAACACCTTGAAGACTACGAAGACGAAGATCACATGAACTATGTGGGTGAATTTTACTTCAAGGTAAATGAAACTTGCTTACATGGTGATCACAACATCTTCATGGTTGCCCCAAATGATCGTGATGCTCATAATCCAATTCTTATCCATCTTGATCCTTCTGATATGTCGTGGAATAAACGACATCATTACAAACATTCTTTCAAGAAGAAGCAGTATTCAGATACAAGGAAGGAAAGACAGAAGGAGAAAAAGAGAAAGGCATATGAAGATCAAGCATCAACGTATCAGGGCAACGTTAGTTGGGGTGGATCCTCATCTTCTTCGTCCAGACCATGGAGAACAAGCTTTTGGCTATGAGTGAGTGTAGACTTCTTTAAATGAAGATAACACAGCATGAGAGGCCGTGTACAGTTTTTCTGTGCATCAACTTATTTCACACAGATGGCATATACTCTTTTAAATAGAGATAATGCCACAAGTGTCTGAACTTCAATTTAATGTAAAATAGATGCTCTTGTAAATAGAGATACTATACACATTTATCTCCATGGACCATCCTGCGAGCAGACCACTCCGAATGGAGCGAACTCCAAAAATTACCAACTTCGATTTCAGTCCATTGTTTGCTTGAATGAGCAACTTTGGAGATCCGCTATTTCCGTTTATTTCGTGATTTGGTCAATTGTTTTTCGTATGACCTGAATTTCTGAATCTTGCAAACCCGAACTTTTCAATTCGAACCTTCACCGGTAGAGCGAGGCATTTTGCCTATGGAGAGACCGTGCGCGAAGCACCATTGGTCACTACTGGAAAAATTAGCGAATCCGCTGTTCTTTTTCGACATGTCCTTAGGACATTCGCTGCTTTCACGTGTTTCAATTCGAAGCCACTGCGTAACTCCGGTTTCTTTTGCTATTTGCCATTGTGTAGAGAAGTCAGGAAGATACTCTTAATACCAATTGGGTACGGCAAGGCGTAGTGCTCTACTCATTGCTTTTGAATTTGTGCCTGTGTTTTTGTTTCGATCCTAATACCTACATAGGTACATGCATGAGTATTGAGCACATTTATATGCGCCCTTCAAGGCTCAAGAGGTATATAGAGTAACCCTGTAGACAAGCACGGACCGGCAACAGGCTGAGTAAAACAAGGGCTGCTGTCATTGGGGAAGACGCCTTAGCTGATCTTGAAGTAGACGCTAGGGCCCCCTCTTCACCCCCCCCTTCCAACCCCCAACCCCCCAACCCCAGAAAAGGTGCCTCCGACTACAGAGGTCATGTTACGAAACAAAGCACGAAGCACGAAACATGTCGAAAATAAAATGTCGAAAATCACATAAAACCACACGGGGTAGCACGAAAAATGTCAAAAATCACATAAGACCACACGGCGGACTAGGGGTCGTGGTCCAACTACACACAAAAAAAAAAAACATAGATTGTCCATTGACTTTCCTAGTAATTATTCCATATCAACTCATGTGTCTATCACAACCTCAATTTGTTTTTACTGACTGTGACTATACTGTCATCCCCACGTTTACTGGTTGTATCATCATGTTTGTCTTGTTTGCTTGTGCGTGGAATGGTTATCCCATAATATGTGTAGCCACAATCCCAAGCGTCAACCCAGAGATCTCCCCAATCCACAAAGTTTGTTTAAGGTTATGTTGGATCGATGGTTTGACACATGTTTTCCCATTAAAACCGCCATCGTACGTGGCATACCCCACTTCAAATGGACAAAAAAAACCTAGCTATGGAGAATCCACCACTTTATAGATGGTTATACAGTTATAGTTATAGTTCTCTATGTACATACATAATATATAGTCTATATATATATATTGTACATATGTAAATCATATATTTTCCCATTGAAAGTCTGCATCGTCCATGGCCACGTTAGCCATGCTGTCGAGTTTCCTCCGTCAAGACGTCATGCAGGCGTTGGACCTGGGAAGGGCCAGGGGTTACTACTCGAGAACCACAGTAGTTGGCCCTTTCGGGAGATGGGGCCTCACTAAAGGACGTTGTAGTTATACATATATATATATATGTATGTATGTATATAGATAGATATAGATATAGATTTAGATATAGATATAGATATAGATTCTAGATATAGATATAGATATAGGTATAGATATAGATATAGATATAGGTATCGATATATAGACATATAATGTCATATATCCATATATATATATACATACATATTATATATATTATATATATACACATATATCCAACTAAATTACTTGACCTGCACCTCCAAGTCGAAACCAAGAATTGCTGGGACTTCATTTCTGGCTCCACAAAGGTGCCCTCCGGTGGACATAGCCATGGGAAAGGTGCCATTTCTATAGAGGATGTCCCAGATCCCATGAAAACCTCCATTGATGGAGGAGTTTCCATCTTTTTCTTGGTTAATTTTCAAACCTATTCAACGGAAAATGAAGAGTCTTGGATTCTCTATTGGTGGAACATGTCCCATTAAGCCATCCATTGATAGAGGATTCCTTCCAAAGCTGATTTACTATTGGGCTTCCCACATGATTCCAGTTATCCATTCATCATCTATTGCTGGTTATATACCCATTATTAAGCACTATTAACCATCAAAGGTTTTCCTGTTTCTGTTCTTGGCTTGTACTTGTTCCTTTGTTCTCTTGCTACGCGTTTTTGCTTCGTCTGATTGGTGTCCACCCCCCAGTACTTCCTCTTCCTATCCCTCTCCCTCTCCCTCTCCCTCTCCCTCTCCCTCTTCCTCTTCCTCTCCCTCTTCCTCTTCCTCTTCCTCTCCCTCTCCCTCTCCCTCTCCCTCTTCCTCTTCATCTTCTTCTTCTTCTTCTTCTCCTTCTTATACTTCTTCTTCCTCTTCCTCTTCCTATTCCTCTTCCTTTTCTTCTTCTTACTCTTCTTCTTCTCCATCTTATTATTCTTCTTCCTCTTCCTCTTCCTATTCCTCTTCCTTTTCTTCTTCCTCTTCTTCTTCTTCTACTTTGTCTTATTCTTCTTCTTCTTCTTCTACTTCTTCGTCTTCTTCTTCTTCTTCTTCTTCTTCTCTTCTGCTTCTTTTTGGCTTCCACCTGGCGTGCACATCAACCTCCCTTGGGGCAACCTCTCTCCGATTCCACCCTGTCCTCTTCTATGCAGCGGTCTGCTCCGAATGCTCATACAGAGTTCCTGGCGCTACTTTACTAGGGGCGGTACTAATTTGGTATACAGTCAATAGGTTGTTACGGCAGGCTCTTCCTACACAAGCTGTTTCCGTTTTACGGCTCTGTCTTCTTCTCCTCCTTTTCTTCTCTCTCGGGCTTTCACCTAGGGTGCACAGCACACTCCCTTGGGGCCACCTCTCTATGGCCGGCGGGCTTGCCGCAGGCAACTATATATTGATTTTGGGATGGGTAAACCCACATGACTAACCATTACTAACTAGCTATTTTCATGCTATTTCTATAGAGATTGCCGATTTTGGTAGAGGATGTTCCATCTTTACCTTATTCACCATGATCATTTCCCAACAGCTCGATCTCCGTCCCCTAGGCGCCCCTTGCGGGGTCGTCCCTCTGCGTGGCTTCCTTCAACCACTCGTGCCAGTTCTCGGCCTTAGGGGGGGCGGTTTTTGGAGACAAAGCCTCCAAATTTGGGGGAAGTTCCTCTATTTTCTTGGAAAAAGATGATGGATGTCCTACACAAGTTTTCTTTTGACAAATTGGGGGCGTTCCCAATTTTTCAGGGGAGCACCTCCAATTTCCTGGCCAAATGATGTAAAATGGGTAAGCCATTGTATCGCAGGAAATGAAGACAGTTCCCATACTGAAATTCCTTGCAGTGGTCATGACATATGTTTTTTATTTATTTGATATTAGCCGTTAGTAACCAGAAATGTCTTTCTTCTCAAGTGATTCCAGCGGTCCTGCCAGCGGTATCCACTCTTACCTTCTATCCCTACATTCCGCATCTATACCCAATGTTGGTTGCAAATCCGAGACCTTCGGAAAAAATCATCAACCACCGCCCGCGCCTCCTTTTCGTTCGGCAGCTGAAGCAGCAAAGTGGGAGTCTGTGGCGGTCCCATCCCTTCCCCGTTGGCCCCGTTGGCACTGTTGGCCTTGTGGGTCAAGTTTCTGTGCTAAAAATGTGATAGTGCATACTATAAACCAGAACATTCTATGAAATATATATATATATATGTATACAGTATTTATGTATGTGCATATATATATATATACCATAAATATATATATATATATTTACAGTATATGCATATATTATGCCACAAGAAATGGATGGGTAATGCTGAAACGGCCAAAATGAAAATTCCCAACAGCTCTTAAAATTTGACCAATTGTTACTTTGCAGCTCCCAAGGCTGACTTTCATGACGAACAAGGTTTGACAAAGACTTTCCAGGTGATCCTGCAGGAAATATGGTGATGCCCTCATCATTTATGTGCGGGTGATCCCCCTTTACATGGCTATACCCAGCCGAAAGAAAGGAAATCTATGCTGTTCCTGTACCTGTTTTGGCTGCACCGTCAAGGTCTTGCCATCACGTTGCACCTGAAAACAGGACAGAACGCAGCTCCACTGTTCTGAACAATGTTCAGGTATTAAATGAACGGCAACAAGAGGGATCTAGGGGAAAAAGCAAAGGGGTCGATGTGGTACCATTTGGTCACTCCATTTGGTCACTCCCTTTGAAGGGGGATGACCGCTGAATTGATCAACCAGTGACTGGGTGAGACCATCAGTGGAAGATGGTTTTGTCAGAAAATAGGGCACTGCGCTTGTTTGATGCAAAATAGCATGATTTCAACATCTGCCATAAATTTGGGGCATACTCCGTTTTCAAACACCCAGATATATCTTTGCTGGTTGATTGCTGATATCCCCACTATCAGCCCATCCTTACAGTAAATGTTACATTAATTTACCAAGAGCTACTCTCCGGTAATTCAACATAGCTATTGAAAATGGCCCATTTATAGTTGATTTACCTATTAAAGATGGTGATTTTCCATAGCAAACTGTTAGTTTACCAGAGGGTACCATACATAGACCTGAGAATCCACTGGTTTCAGAGGAATCAACAATCGTCCCCAACCCACAACTCATGGCAAAACCTCGTCATGTTCGTTGAACGGACAGTGTGATTTTTATATCCCCACGACACACCAAACGCGTCAAAAAAAACCTCGTCATGTTGGTTGTGGGTATGGTTGTTGATCATGTCCCTTATATCAATTCTATACATGTATACATATACATAGCATATCCTCATCAGATTCCCATTCTATATATATATATACATATATATATATACATACATATATATATATATTATGTGTATCCCAGGAGTTTCACTTGGAATATCATCATCCCACTTAGTAAGTGGTTCACAAGAAAGTAAAATAGTAAGTGGCTGACTGGCAGAACCGGAACGCTGCAATAGTAAGTTTATCCAAATTATTTCCGATTAGTTTCACTTATTTCACTTAGGAAAGATGGGTTAAGTTTTCGTAACTGGGGAAATCCTATAGTTCCTATAGTTCCTATATAGGGATGGGTCAAAACTTTGTACCCCTGGTAAACATCTAAATAGCTGGTAAATAGATGTTCATCCACCTAAAAATGCTATTTATAGTTATTGATCCATAGCCATATTTATCCCAAGTAAATTATAGTTCCAAATTATACCTTTTAGTCAACCATATAGTTCCTATAGTTATCCATAACCGTATCCGTAACCATAGAGTTCCTATAGTTAACCATATAGCTCCTATACGTAGTTATACTTCTATTTTCCATATAGTTCCAAGTAAATTAGTTCCTATAGTTAACCATATAGTTCATATAGTACCTTATATACCATATAGTTATACCTAGTAAATAACCCCCATTTCCTAACCACCTCCACGGAAGAAATCGAAGGATCGCACCTCTGCACCACCCAGAGCCACCACCGGCAGGGCGCGTTCCAAGCTGGGACCCGTACGGATCACCTCTGGTAGCCGAAGCTGGGTCTAGATATGTGTACTAAGATAAGAAATATTGATGATACCTATAGCTATATCTATAGCTATATCTATAGCTATAATTATAGCTATAGTTATAGCTGTCTATATATCATATATGTGTATATATATATGTATATATATATATATATGGATCATCACGGATCTATGGATTTGTGTATGTATAGTTGTATAGCTACCGTTGCAGAACGCAAACCCAATTATCACTTAGTGCTACACTCAATCCCCAGTAATCCCCCCATTCGGTGTAGCCCATTATTGGACAAACCCAGATCCGATCGTTGCTGGGCATGTGATACCTTTGGGTTTGTGCTGAAAATATTGTACCCAAACAAAACATGTTTTATCATTATGTTCCTGATTAAAACTGCCAGTATATGGGTATGTCCACTTTCAGACACACCCAAATACCATATTGCTGTTCCTGCCTCCCATGCTATTAACACTATTTCGAGACATAATTTACCAAAAGATTTGGCCTTGTCCCACAAATAAGGTACACCCCAAAATTCCAGCTACCCCAGCATTTATTTCGATGATTTTCCATGATTTTCCCAGCTATAAACGACTCAATAAACATCCATTTAGCATGTCCACTTGGAATTTCGGAATTGATGCCCTTTTTCAATGGAGGTTTATAGCTGGGAAAATCCATGGTGGATTGTCCATGGTGGATTTACCAGCCTCAACTTGGGACATCTTTTTGGGATTTGGGGAGATATTCCCATTAAATCTCAACTATTATAACATGAATTCTATAATTCTTGGGATAATTATAACTAAATAATGGGATAATAATTGGGATTTGCGGATATATTCCCATTATCCCATAAGTATCCCATTCTTTTCCCGACAAACCACATAAAACCATAGAAAGCGGCAAACAAAACTCTATAAAGCCACATAAAATCCCTCTAACCCCTCCTATAAACCCATCTCAATTCGACCTTTCCGCAACCACGAGCACTTCCGTCCATGGCCTCACCGTTGAAGGCGGCATAGCCACTGCAAAGCGCCTCACCGGCCACCTCGGAGCGGAGGATCTAAGGATTCATCATTAAAAATCACCACCAGATGGATACAAAATGATACAAATATCATACAAATACAGTGGATATCATCGATGGATATCTTATGATTCTATCAATGATGGATACATTCTACAATTCACAATAATCTTGGATAATAATATCTAGAAATTTCGAATGAATATATCAACAATGATCATTCAGGAGTCAAATAGTATCGTAGTATCGTTCTCATTCTGGAGTTGTCTGAAGTCTCAATGGAATAATGATGAATAACGTGGAAACGTTCTGGAGTTCCGTGAGGTATGGAATAATAGAACAATACAATATATATATATATATAAATAGGGATGAAGATAATGACAATGATATACAATGATAATCATCATGGTGGTGGGGATATACCCTCTGGTAATTTAACGGCTTGCTATGGAAATCACCATTTTTGATCGGTAAACCATTGAAAAATGCTGAAAACAGTCGTGATTCACTAGGGTCTTAATTAACGGGGATCTAGAGAAATGGTGGAAAAATATGGGACGTACCTAGGATCTTATCGAACTAAATGGACCATTTTCTATATTTCATGATATCAACCCAACTATGTTAATGATATTAACCATCTATATCAATTGTATACCCATGGTATATCATGATATTAACCCAACTGGATTAAATTACCGTCGATATCATGAGATAAGCACCCAATGGAGAAATGAGCGAGAAAACTCGAAGGTTAAAAAAAACAAAAACGAAGGGGGATTGATGAGCTTCCATCCCAGTTTGCCGATCCAAATTGAATTGAGATGAAAGGTGTTGAATCATCCTTGTGTCAAACACTTGGGTGCCCGAGTGTCTCTTGTCGCTGGTCCTTTTGTTCATTGCATCCTCCAGAGATGAGAAATTTGACTTATCTTCCAACATAAAATGATGTGTAATGTACGGTTATATTGGGATGATACTCACGTACACCAAAAACATTGGCAATAAACATTTAAGTTGGGTATTACCTCCCATTTACATCAATTTGCATCAATTTACATCAATGATCATTCAAAACCAAGTTTGTTGGGTGAATACCCTCCGGTAATCAAACGTGGCAAGGGAAAAGGAGGTTTATAGATAGGGAAAAATATCGAACTGAATGGTGAGTTTCCAGCCAGCCATTTTGATTGCCAGATGGTATCCCATTGTTATCCCATTACAGAAACACCAATTACATCCCATAATCGCCTCTGTTGGGTGAATTTCCTTTTTGTTGATGGCTCGCCCCATTTTTGCTGCTTCATTTCCAGGGCCCCGGGGCGGAAATCTCCGCAGTGGCAAACTTCTCATTCCGTTCACGCGCCTTCCTGCCATGGCAAACGCAACCGATGGCGAGTGAACCATTCAAAGCGGGGGGGTTCAACCAACAAATGTATCTGATTTAGAAGAAAAGGAGCTTTGTTTGAAGTGACAAGTCAAGCACGACGAGCAGGTCATGGCCTGATCTTCCGTTTTTTCTGCATCAGGGCAGCCAGGAATGGTTTTTGCCCAGGTCAAAGAACTTCATCTTGTTTAAAACCAGGCTTCTTCATCCAAGAAACAAGTTAATATGAGACGTACTACCCCAAATCCCTCGACGTTTTTCGTGGAACATCACCTCCGCGACGTACCACCCCGATCAACGTCACGTAGCATCAACGTAGCGAAGCATCACGTGAGAGCAAGTGCCAACCCCTCCCACCCCACCCCACCCCACCTGAAACACTGACGTACGTGGGGAAAACTGCACGCAAACACGCCGTGCCGATGGGAATTGCGTTCAGAAAAACGCGCGTTTTCAGCCCGAGCCACCAACAAAGTTGTGGGAGTTGAGTTCACCATCAAATATGGACAAACCAAGGATCATTGCCTCATCGCACTTAACAACTAGCCTGTTCACCCAGCTATGAGATTACCTCTCAAGTTATGGATGCCTGGGGTTTTCAACTCCAGGCTATGGCGGCCTCAAATGGGGGAGTGAGGTGATCTTCACCAGCATATAAAGAACAGAGATGTCAGCAACAGAACTCGGGGATTTGCGAGCTAAATTGGCAATTTCCTGGGGAACATGGAACAAATGGAGCATGTTGGGCCCAACAAAATCTCTTGCCCGCTGGTAATTTAACGGTTAACTGTTGAAAATCACCATGTTCAATAGCCAATCTTCTGTAAATGGATCATGTTCATCCATTTTCCATAGCTATGTAACAAAATTACGAGAAGGTGAACGGAGCGTTTCAGTGTACATTGTGGAGTTATCTCAGCCATTTTGCATCCCCACAGACACCAAGCTCTGCTCCTCAGATCCACATGGCTTGGTCCGAAAATGGGGTATACCCCATTTTTTGGGCCGTGAAAGACTAGGGAAAATGAATTTCTAGATTCTAAATCACCAAATGGCATGGGATGTTCGGATTTTACCAACATAGCCTCCAGTAATCTAACGCGGCTTGCTGGGAAACCCCCGAACTAAATGGAGCTTCAGAGCTGGGAAAATCATGGAACAAAATAATGGTGGAGATTCAACTGCCACGTTTGATGACACCGGAGGGTACTCCCAATTCTTATCCCAATGGTATCCGAATGGTATCCCTAAAAATCTCAATCATTATCCAACAAATCCCAATGACTATCCCTATAAATCCCAATGATTCTCCCCATAAATCCCAATAAATCCCAAGTATCACCCCCAAAAACATCCTAATCATCCAATGATTGTTTCATCATCTCCGATTATCCACCTGAGTTCTTCGATGGGATCGGTGAAGGCCGAGCGAACCAAGGCAGGAGACCCCAGGACCTGCGCGGGATCCATGGGATCCCCCAGTCAGCCATGGTGAACTGGATGACTTGGAAGGCTCCCAGTTATAAATTGGTTCAATTTCACCCATCCAACGACATATCCATCATGACTCCAACTGGATGACCTGGATGTTTTTTGTAAACTGTACCCGCTTTTCTGAGAAAGAAACTATTTTGAAGAGGTAGAAAAACTCCGAAGAAGTGGGGTTCAAGCCAAGAATACCGCTGATTTCACCCATAAATTATAGGTTGGGTTCACTGCAAGCATTGAAAGATCGGATGTAGGAAATGAACATCTGGGAGATATCTAATGTATAACCCACGAGCATTGGGGTATGACAAACGTAAGGAACATCTTTTCGAGGAGTTTTCGGGGGAAAAAAATGGAAAAAAAAACAAGCACCAAACCTGGATCAAAACAGGCCATGAGGATATATCCGAATATTTGACATCAGAAAATCCACCATTTACAATCATTGATGATTTTCCCAGCCATAAACCTCCATTTAAAAGCCATCAATGATGGGTTTTCCCGGGAAATGGCTACGTTACACCGTTGGTCTCCGACCCCCAGGTCTCAGGACCTGTCTGCTGATGCCACCCACCGTGGCGATGATCTGGGCAGCGCAATCTGGCGTGTCCTGCCGACTCATTGGGAAGCTTGAAGAATCAACTATGATACCCTCCACATGGTGTGGATGGGTGATTGTGGTATGTATTATATATATATGTATATATATATGTATGTATATATGTATATATGTATGTATATATATATTATGTATATCATATATTATATGTATATCATATATGTATATTTTGGATATATATATATATATATAATGTATATATATATGTATACATGTGGGGATTAGGATGGAAAATCACCGTTTATGATAGGAAAATCCACTATAAAAAGGATCATTTTGAATAGTTATGTGAACTCAGAAAAAAAAGAAAACATCCCCCGTTCATATGTTCATATTAAACACTCCCGAGAAACCCATGGTGGATGTGGGGAGTTCCACCGAATGGCTGAGATCCCCAACCTTCAGGTACGGTACCATTTTGGACACACCATATCATATTCTGCTGTTTGGAATTGATCTTTTACACAAGTTCAAGCCCCAGTATCCCCATGTGTTTTTGTCTTAACTCTCGATTCTTCTTGGCGCAATTACCATAAATCTCCCCTTTTAGTCGGGTAAATCACCATCTGTTCAAAGTTCATTTTCCAAATTTAGACTTAGAAATACATACATATCTATCTATCTATCTGTCTGTCTGTCTGTCTATCTATCTATCTATCTAGCTAGCTATCTATCTATCTATCTATATAACATATCGGATAACCATATCTCATATTATATATATGGAGCCTGCCGGTTGTGTCGCCGTTCGCGCTGCGCCAAATAAGTGGCCAGGTTGGAGTACCTGGGGATTTTTTAAACCAACCAAACATAGGGGATTTAACCATGAAAAATGGTGATTGCAGCAACAAGAGTGTGGATTTAACCATCAACAATGCAGACTTAAGCAACAAAAGTTGGGTTTTGCAATGATTTCACCATGAAAAATTGGACTCACTGAAATGATACTCTGGGTTTTGTGAAAAATCATTTGAGCTCACCAACAAAAACAGTGGTTTAAAGTGGTCGTAAATGGTTGAAGCAACGAAAAATGACCGACAATAACCGACAACAAATGACCCCCCAAGCGAGAACACCCATTGACCGCCGCTAGGAGCAAAAGTCACCCCTTTTTGGGTGGGGTACCAAAGACCAAACAGTTAACCCAACAAGAACGGATGATTTGATCATCAAGTCGGGATTCGACATGTATGTATCTATGTATGTATGTATGTATGTATGCATGTATGTATGCATGCATGCATGTATGTATGTCTATGTATGTGTATGTATGTGTATGTATATGTATGTATATGTATATGTATATGTATATGTATGTATGTATATGTATGTATATGTATATGTATGTATATGTATGTATATGTATGTGTATGTATGTGTATGTATGTGTATGTATGTGTATGTATATGTATGTGTATGTACGTGTATGTATGTGTATCTATGTGTACGTATGTGTCTGTGTATGTGTATGTGTGTAAGTGTATGTGTGTATGTGTATGTATGTATGTATGTATGTACGTACGTACGTACGTATGTATGTATGTATGTAGGTGGGTAGGTAGGTAGGTATGTATGTATGTATATGTGTGTGTATGTATGTTTATGTATGTGTATGTATGTGTATGTATTTATATGATATGTATGGGTATATACTTATATGGTGTATATACATATATATGGTGTGTATGTATGTATGTATGTATGTATGTATATATATATATTTGGTGTCTACATATATATATATATATACGCAATAATTCCATCAGCAACCAACTAAGAAAAATGGAATGCGTCAATCTTCTTGTCAAACTGCAGCAACTGTCATGTTCAAGACCACATGCTCCTTGCTACATATCTACATGCGTGGATGTATTTTTTGTGTATGTATTTATGTGTGTTGTAGATGGTAGGGTAGTACGGTAGATCTGTGCATGCACATGCACAATGTGTAATCATATACATGTACGTGCATATGATGTCAACCTATAAAGTGTATATATATATATATTATATAACATATATATATATATACACGTATATACACATAACTAAACTGTCAACCTTGGGTTAGCAAATCTGTTGATTCATTGATAAAGAATACCACGAGAAGGGTAGCTAAGCTCCACAGTTGGGGATTCACATCCTGGGATTCCATTGCCATGTGAGATTACCAGAGGGTACTATCTTACCATATTATACCACATTTTGGGGGGTATCAACACACATTTACTTACAAGCTATTTTGGGTTGAACAGAAGGGTACCCGGGCTTTTGACGGATAGCTGCATAAATGCTGCTTTACGCGGGAGTTATAACCCCAGTTAGAGCTGGGACGAACCCTGCTTGCTCTACTTATAACTGGGGTTGTAACCCACTTACAATGCCTGAGATGAGCCACCAGGTCCCATTACCCTCTAGTAATTCACCAGCCACAAGCACGGCAATTAAAAATCCACCAGCCATAGTTCGAAGATTTCTTCCAGCGAACTAAACCTCCATAAACATCCATCAACACTTCGGGCATTTCCCAGCCACCTTTGAGGAAGTGGTTTTTCCAAACCCTGGTTTATAAATCCCCTGAAAATCGAACTGAAATCCAGGGTTGGAAAAAGCACTTACTCAAGGTGAAGCACCTGGCGCCACCAAAGGTTCACTATTGAACCACTCAAAATCACTAAATCCAGGGTCGATCAATGGTGAACCCCCAGGTGCCCCGGCACGGCCATACCAATGGTGCCACATCCCAAGGCGGCCGAAGCCCCCACCAGCGCGCCCTGTTCAAAATCCATGGCAAAATCCGTGGGGATTTGAGCTGCACTTAGGAGTTTACCATGGATTTCATGTGGATTTCATCTGCTAAGCTCCATAACTATGATAATCACATTTAAAAAAAACTCTAGCGATAGTGATTTTTGATGGATTTCATGTGGATTTAATCACTAACTATGGTGATGAAGATCACTATAACTATGATGATCAAGGGATTGGTTTAGGAAAATCGACAGCAAACCACGAAAAAAAGGGGGGGTTCTGCAGATCTTCCCTTAAACCGATCCATCGATACCCAAAACAAACTGCTGAGACCGCAAAAAACTAAAAGGGGGAATGTATGGGAATGTCATAGGGATTTAGCCAATAAGACTGCATATTCAACCAACAGAATGGAACTTGTTCTGGAGAAATGTTCATAGAAAGTAGGGATTTAACCAATTCAACCATCACTTGGCAGATGCCCCAAATAGGACGTGCCAACAATGGCCATGGCGATTTCTAAGGCCCAGTGAGATGAGTCGTGGTTTCATGCAGGGGCTCCCCTCTGCAAAACCATTTGGCAGTGTGTCAAAACCAATAGTACCCCTTTTTTGTTCACATCAAGTCATAGCTGGGATTTATGGATGTGAATAACCCACTAAAAATGGTATTTTCATAGGTATTGATCCATAGCCATTTGAACAATAGGTAATTTCTACTTCTAGCTGAAACACGTCCTAAAGGCACAGATCAAGGCAACCGAAGAAAAATGAGAACTTGTTTGACGCCACGTCTACACTAGGCACACAGCAAACATCACAAAAATGACTTTGGTGCCTTGCAAACCTGAACATAATACCTCTAGAATCCTCTATATCTTATAATTATGTATAGAGAGAGAGGTAAAGAGCCATATGCACATTGATCTCGCATATCTTACATATATTATACGTATATATAGAGAGAGAGAGAGGGATACATACATCGTTACATCAACATTCCTTAAGGATAGAAGACATTGCCGTTCAAGCCTGGGCAGCCATGAGCGCCTCAGGGAGATGTGACACAACGTTTGCCCCATGTATGCATTAACTGCATGGGATATGTTTAGAAAGGATGATAGGATATGATAATCTGATAGGACATTTTCTTCGGGATTTCGGGCATCTTCTAGGTCGAAATATTGAAACATGTGTTTTTCCAACTCCTTCTGTGACTGATGCCAGACCTGGTTTGTTCGAGGCTACTGTACTCGCCAAAAATGGAGCTACCCTATGGTAATCAACCATGGCAATGGAAAAAAAAACATTCATATTGCCCCATTCAATTGTACATTCAGCCCAGGGATTTTCCAGGTTCGGGAATTTCCTAGCCATGAGCTGACACCATCCAGCCTGAGGCCAGTCAGCGACGGCACCCGTTTTGGGCAGCTTGCCGTGGATGGTTTTGATAGCTTTGAAACATATTTAAGAAAAAAACATGTGTTCACCTTCACCATCTCAGGCTGAGATGTCCTAAGTGTTTGTCTTAAAAAATTCTATCCTGTTGGTTTGTGTTCAAATACATCCAATTCAAATATCAAATGGGATTGGACTTCTGTCGACTGTTTCGCTGCGGATGCACATCCTTCAGCTTTGCTATGCCGGCTGGACGAGACACCATGGCAGCGGCCATTCATCATATATGGATGAACATCGATCTTACCAGCAAATCATTCAGAACCAGGATTCAGGGTGCCTGGCTTTTAGCAGCTATACCCGTATCTCCAAAAACTCAAAACACAGATTTCGATGGGAAGTAGATGTGAAAGTCAGACACCATTGTGCTCATGAATTCTGCAGCATTTGAGATACGAAGATGCCAAAAACGGCATTGATGTTCGAGAACAAATGTCGACAAGTTCAAGTGATACGTGCATATATATATATTTATTTATATTTATATACATTGCATTTGTACGTGGATTTCCGTATGTAAGAGATCCGCCTACTTATGTGCATACAGTCCCTATTTGGGTGTAGATCCGTCTGTGCTATGTGTGATGCTTTGATACAAGGAAGCAACTATGGATGTTGATATATGACGCTCTCTGTCTCAAATGATACACCTTTGAAAAATGTGCACACGGACAGGTTTAGTCTCTTACGTTAAGTGTTCTGGTTTACCTACGGCTCTACATAGTTTCAACAGCTGTGAATGTCTGATCCAGGTCTTGTTTTCAGTGCCTCCTGAACCGCAACTTGTCGCATTCATTTTGCGCGGAATTCGCGCAGTCTGGATGGTCTCATTAGCAAATGTTACGCAGGCTGTTGCTGTCTGGCACTTCACCACTCTCTCGGTGCTGTATTGGGAATGGCTACGGCCTACTGTGCTGTCCCAATCTCAAAAGTGATCCAAGTTCTGTGGACTGTCACCCGATCATCACAGCCCGCCACGGACTTCCCAGAACCTCAACCCTTTGGAGGTCTCCAGGTCTCCACAACTCATCTGCCGGGCAGACCTCGCAATGGATGAGTTGCTTCGTTTTTTGAATCCACAAGAAAAACACACCAAGTCGCATTGAACATGGTAGGGAAAACCTGGTCTGCCTTTTTTGGGGCCGCTGCCATTTCAGTTAGAAAGGGGGCGGTATGGGTGAATCTTTGGGTAGATACTCATCGCCGAAGGGTATTGGTTCCACTTAATACAAAATGACATTGGACATTTTGACACTAAAAGTGAGCAGAAACCAAGCATGGTCAGCCCATCTGTCAACAATTTCGACCGCCTTGACATGGGCTTTTAATGGCTTTTACCCCAACCACTGGTTTTACCCTCTGGTAAACTAACATAACTATGGAAAATCACCATTTTTCATGGGATAATCAACTATAAATGGACATTTTCGATAGCTATGTTAAATTACCAGAGGGTACCGCATCGGCCGGGTCGCTTGGCAGGTCTCTGGCCGTGAGTTGACCCTGGCCATGGATCCCAATGGATCAAACCCAATGCTGAAAACCAGATGTGTCTGAAAATTGGGTACCCCCAAATCCCCATCTAAATAAGAGAATATACATATACATAAACGTAATATACGTGTGTGTATATATATGTGTGTATATATATATATATGAGCCCGGTCCCCGGACCCCCACACCCCCCAATGGTATCCCCCCCCCACTCCTAACCCCCCCACCCCCCAAAACCTAGTATTTGCATGTTAGTTGCACATATACATACACATATACACATATATACTCCCCTTTCCACCCCTCCACCCTCGCATCTCTACGTTATTTGCAGCACTTGAGAGCCACGACCTCGTCAACGGACCTTGTCTACCTGTATATTTCTATCATAACCTTTTTTTCGAACCGCCTATAGTGCCTCGCACATGGTTTACAACATATTTGCTACCTATGGATTACGCAAAGCTTACCTATGCAAACCTAGACATATGTACAGTAGAAAAACAATAAATATATATATGCACATTCTAGATACTACATATTGATATCTTGATCTTGTATCTATCACATATTTCGTTTACATTGTACATACTGTACACGTATATATATATATATGTACATATATATGCATATATATATATATATACATGTATATATATATGCATATATATACATATATATATACATAAACTCTAGATATACAGCGTGTATTGCCGTCGATATTCAATATACCACATATACTATGTAAAATTTATTCAACGAACATATTTACCTATATTGTATATATTACATCTACTGTGGATACAGTACATGTGGCATATACTATCTATATTCTATCAAAATCCACATATTCGATATATATATATATAGATGTTCAATATATATATATATGTCAAATATATATATATATATATATCTATTATATATATATTGCATATATTCTATTAATATCTTACATATTATATATATATAAAGATGCTCTCACTTCACTTTTTGACCCACTTCGCAGCAGGTTTCTCAAAATGTTTGAAAAAGGAACTGTTAAACCCTCTACTTGTGGCAACATGCTACCGAACCTACCTTAGGAAGACCCCTCTCCAGAGCAGGGCCAAACCCCATGCAAGGGAGACTGAGTCCATTCCACCTTTGGAGATACCAAGCCAAACCTACTAGTCCTCCAAATGCCTGGAATGCGGTAGCATGTTGAAAATATCCAAATGGAAACTTCAAAGGCGCCTTTTTTGACGCACGTTGTCTGCTCTGTTTGCCTCTCTTTCAGGAGTCGGGGGACTCCCGAGTTGTACAGGAGGGAGGAGCTCCCGATGAGTACAGGAGTTGGGGGACTCCCGGGGGGTGAGGGAGGGAGCTTGAAAAGAACACTTCGGGATCAAAGGAGTTACGTGCAGCATCTTAAAATCCGGGGCCGTATTATCAAAGATGCTCTCACTTCACTTTTTGACCCACTTCGCAGCAGGTTTCTCAAAATGTTTGAAAAGGAACTGTTAAACCCTCTACTTGTGGCAACATGCTACCGAACCTACCTTAGGAAGACCCCTCTCCAGAGCAGGGCCAAACCCCATGCAAGGGAGACTGAGTCCATTCCACCTTTGGAGATACCAAGCCGAACCTACTAGTCCTCCAAATGCCTGGAATGCGGTAGCATGTTGAAAATATCCAAATGGAAACTTCAAAGGCGCCTTTTTTGACGCACGTTGTCTGCTCTGTTTGCCTCTCTTTCCAAGCCCCCCTTTCCTTCCGCTCTTCGGCGGAGGCTCAAGTGTTCCAAAGCGAGGATACTGTACAGTTTGGTGGAACACAGTAAGGTAGGGTTGGATGGTAGGGGAGGTTGGTGGAATTTGCATAGACGCAAGGACGGCAAGCCCTTCATTCAGATACACTCGGGCACTCTTTTGTGTGTGCCAACGGCCTTGGACCATAATGCGGTCAAAAGACTGATGCTTAGAAAACCAAAAAGTAGCCCCGCCACGCCTAAGGCTATAGGGCCGAAAACCATGGCGTGTGAGTCCAAGTGAGTGGAGGCACTCATTGAAAAGGCTCCTCCAATTTGCTGGGTTCTTAGACAAACAGGTCAGGGCGGAAGCTTTCAGCTTCCATTGACGCACAATCTTGACGGCTGGTTCAAAGCCTAAGATAACGCTTTCTGCTGCCCCGTGTCTTTTGCCTCCTTTTGTGAGGCCAAGGGAAATCACAACTTGTTTCGCGTTACTAGAAGAGAGCATGTGGGATGCACGTAATCCAAGCAACTCACCAGTACGCAACATGGCATAGAAGCCCACAAGCAGCGATACCCCAAAAGTTACATATCCTTTAAAGAACGACCATCCTGCCATGGCCATCAGGACATGCTCGGGTAACGGAGGTGCCCGATTTGGGATTTCATTGACATGCCATGTCTTCAGGAGCCGCCAGGCTCCAGGTAGGTGATTGCGAAGGTTGGGCTGCATATCTTGAAGTCCTGCCAATGTGTCACAAGCAAGGGCCCGCCCGGCCCCCGATGCCCATAGATGCTCAAGATAATCGCAGACCAGTGCATCCATTTGCCCCTTCTCGCGGGGTAAAGAGAGCTGTTCTGAGGTGAGAAACTGAAGGAATGCATCTGTTGCCTTTGTATACCGCTTACGAGTCGCAGGTTGCACTGTGAGTTGTCGCAAAGTTCCAAGTTTTCGCCTTTGTTTCGCCCTTTCTTCTGGCTGGTCCACTTCAAGGATTCGCTTACGCGGCATCCCGGAATTTACTCCTGACCCGCTTCCCCCAGCGACTGGGTTTATCAGCGGGGTTCTGATCTGTGTGCACGTATCCCCAGACAGGCTGGGAATTGGAAGCCAGAATAAGGGCGTTAATGCGGGCGAGGGCCCCGGAAGTTTCATCTGGCGGAGGGCCTGTGCCAACCCCTCCTCATAGCCAGCCGGGGGGTGTCTGGACCCGTGGCTCATAGCAAGGGACCTTTCCCTCGGACACTGCACAACTTCCTGACTTAAGCCTTGCTGGCTCCCTCTTCCTTCTTTTTGTTGGGATCTGTCTTTCCAGGGCCTCCTTTGCCCCACCTCCGATCTTTGCCGCCCTTGGGGGCATCCTTGGTCTCGGCCTTGCCCTTCGATTGCCCCTTGTAACTGCTGCTGGTTGACGTCCCCCGTCCATCGGGCTGGGCTGTCAGCCACTTCATTCTGGCCTCCTGGTAGACATCCTTGCGCGCCTGTCCCATCTCGGGTAGAGGTGTGAGCGAAACTCCCTCTTGGGGCGCTACCTCCAGGCGCTGGGATACCGACCAGTGATTGCCCAGTAGCGTGCTTTCGCACGACTTGAACCGCTGCAACATGATGTCCATGGCAGAAGCCGCGTTGCCAACTAGCAAGAGGTCGGCTGCTGCCGCTAGCGTCAGCAGCTCCCTCTGAGCCGGTCCGACCGCCTTGCGGCCCAGCTGTTGCTTGTAGTAAGCCACTGCACAGGGGCGTAACTTCCCTGAGGCCTCCTCTGTCCCCAGCTCGGCCAGAAGGTTGGTCCGCATTTGTGACAGGGCCTGTGCCGCCAGGGCCCCGGGATACCCTACGGAAACCAGCTTCACTTTCGAACTCTGCTGAAAGACACCCTCGTCGCCCTCGTCGGGATGCGAACTCCCCGATGAAGACGTGGTCCCTTCTGAGTTGTCGGAACTGTCCTTCTTGCTCTTCTTGCGCAGTGCCTGACGGGCCCGTTTGGATACACGACGGCGCACCCGTTCTTTGGTATCCAGGCCTGTCCCGGAGAACAGGGCCGCAGGGCTCTTCTTGGCAGCCGCTTTGGATTTGGTCCCGTCTAACTTGGCCTCTGAGGTGTGGGATCCCGATGTTCTCTCGGCATCCCCTCTTCTCTTCTTCTTGGAGTCTTTCACCTCTTTTTTCTTCTTCTTTTTCTTCGTCTTCTTTTCCTCTCCTGGCGGAGTACAGGGGCCCCCTGCCCCCGCTGGTGCCGCTCTCAAGAGCTCCTGCTCTCGAATCCTCAACGCCGCTAGATCGTCGATACCCTCTGCAGGGACCACCTTCTGAAGATTGTGAAGCCAGCCATCCTCCTTGTCTGGGTCTCCCATCTTCCTCAACTTCCGGGTGTGCAGCAAAGTGTCCGCCACATCCTCCTGGTTGCAATCGGTGGGACACAAGTGCAAACGGAAGAGGAGATCGGGCTGGCCAGAGTGCTGCTTGAGCAGACCCTCGTGGGTGGTGCCCCGCAACTGAACTTTCAGGGTCACCTCCCCGCCCTTGACCTCTATCCCTTTGATCTCGGCTGAGACCTTGCACTCCTGGTGATAGTACATGGCGGCGTCCATCACCAGTTTGGTCCCCTCGCTCAGGCACCAAGGGGAAAGCTTTGAGGCTTCTACCTCTTGCCCTTGTTCCCACCGGTCCTGAACGCTGTCCTGGTGAGCTCCTCGAAGTTGACGAGCTGGACGTCGTAGGGCACCTGGCCCTCTTGCCCTCACCCGGGCCTTTGCTTTTGCCATGGCCAGGGGGGCGGCTTTGGCCTTGGCTTTCGCTTTGGCCTTTGCCACGGCGCCCGCCTTGGCTTTGGCTTTGGCTTTGGGAGCCATTAGTACCGGGGTTGACGGGAACGGTAAGCTTGCCCCCGCAACCGGTGCTTGCGTCCTTTGTTCCTCTTCCTCTCCGTCTGAGGTCTCCTCCGGGGGATCTCCGCGTCCCAATCACTGCCCCACGCAAGTCCTGGCGGGGGGTGGCCTGGCTCTGCTGGTCTGCGACTGTCGATCGCCCTCTCCTCTCGTGCTGAACTGCTCCGCTCCGGGAGAGTGCCCAGCTCAAACGAGGCCGGGTGTAGCTCCGCGTAGGAGTCGATCTGGTTCTGTAGGTCCTCTGGGACCGCGGCTCCACTCTCAGGGTCGTGCCCCGTAGAATGCTCCTCGTCCTTGACCTTCTTTGCCTTTCCCTTGTGTCGAGGGGAAGGGCTCTTTCTCTCGTCCTCTGATCCCGTGTGTTTCCTCTTCTTCGTCTTCTTCTTCTCAGAAGACTTCTTGTCTCCCGTCTTGGGCTGCTTGCTCTTCTCTGCGCCGTCTTCCTCTCTCTTGGGCTCTACCCTCGTCTCCTTCAAGGGGAGTCTCTTGTCTTTGGCAATCTCCTCCTCTGCCTTGACACTGGCTGCTCCTGTCGCTGGTTCACTGGGATGCTCCTCCTTGGGGTAGTCAGGTGGTATAATCACCCGCCCAGGCTTAGTTTCAGCCAAGTCCTGGATGATCCCGCAACACTCCCTTAGCGCGGCCAAGGCAGCCAGCTCCTGCACGGGCGCAAGCTTGCAGTCTGTCAGCAGCCACCCAATCCTAGAATGGGTGCGGCAGCAAGCGCAGGGATTGCCAATGAAGGTCTCGCAGCGGCCGCAGAGCATCCAAAACTAGAGCTTGAAAAGAACACTTCGGGATCAAAGGAGTTACGTGCAGCATCTTAAAATCCGGGGCCGTATTATCATATATATGTTTATATATATATATACACCACACATACACTCTATATTACATATAGTATATCCATTCTAATTATCGATACATATGCACTATATGCACTATATGCACTATAAAGACTACATACACCATGATTTCTATGTATACTCACCAGTGCTGCTCACGCAGTACCTTGGACATTGCTGGCACACTCCTTGCACTGAGCTATATATTTTGCGTATATCGGCTTGGCTGCTGAGAAAACCCCCCCTCCCCTGCCACAGGGGGGGGGGAACCATCTGGCTGGGGGAGGGGGGGGTGTGGGGGTCCCTGCTCATATATATACATACAATTACATGCATGTATATACATATACGTATATGTATGTAGTGGATTTCAGGGTCCCCTATTTTCAGACAAAACCATATGGGTGTGCTTCAAGAGAGCAAAAATGATGCTAAAATGCGGGATTTGGATGTACATCATTTTGGGTGTACATCATCTAAAATGTTAATTTCAAATAATTTCAATATGTTTGGATGGTCAAATGTCATAGTCTATCTCCTTCTGGGAAAACTGGACATAAATTGCCATCAACGGAACCCCCGTTTAACGGATTTGGGATACATAGATGACGAACAACTCAAGTTGTGCCTCTTCTTGGCACCAACAGAAGCTGGAGCTGTGGGGGGCGGTGTGTCCTGGTGTCCCTGAGTTTATTCAGTGACGTGGTTGGAGATTCCTACACCTCAGAAATGAGAGAAATAAGGCATCAGAGAAGAATGTGAAGATCACCAATTTGCCATGAAGTATTTTCCAGTATCACAAGCTCATGACATGTCTTGCTGGGGCGTGCCAGTGTTGACCTTAGGTATGGAAACAGCTCATCCCTTCTTGGATGATATCCCCAACGTTTCAGCTCTTCACCAAGCATCTTTCGATTGACACATCGGCCCCATTTTGTGAGAATCATCCCGTCCCCCTAAGATGTGTTTGGTTTTAGGGCGGCAGCATTTGCCAGGCGTCAAAAGAACAGATGTTAAAGATATCATAGAACCGTTTGAGTGAACTTGGCCTCACTAGCGGGGGTTGGCTAATATCATAGGCTGATATGGTTCACAAAACGGCTTATCCGTTTTCGGTTCTTCAATAATTAGTTTCGAGAATGTTCTCATGACAATCCATGAATGTTGGTTAACTGCTTTCAGCCATTCCCAATCACAATTTGGCCTGGTTCAAAAGGCGGAATATTGCAACTCAACATTGGGCTATGCTTCAAACATGATATAATATATAATATATATATATATATAAGAAAAAAGTATTTTATCACAATTTGGCCTGGTTCAAAAGGCGGAATATTGCAACTCAACATTGGGCTGTGCTTCAAATATACTATAAGAAAAAAGTAATAAGTAGCAAGTATTTCAGTGTGACACTCGTTTTCTATCAATGTGGAAATTGCTGCTCACGAGCCTCCAAGTTGAGTTGTTGCAGTGCCAAGCGTTTGGCGTTCAAGGCCTCTTTCGCGGGGACCATGGAGCCATGCAGTGGACTGGTTTCATGGTGTGGATCGCAACCACCACCAACAAAAATGGTGGGAACATGAAGGGAATACAATGATGTGATTATAAATGGGGATATAACCAACAATGCAGCAAAGTAAAATCCGATCCTGAAAGAGTGGCATCACGCACAGAACAAAAAGAATGTGTTCAAGGGATGAAATGAACTTCTAACTGTGACCAAGCCAGGTATTTTCGAATTCTGCTTAGATCCCCCCATTTGTTGCCGCTCAAAATACCAGCACCAACGAAGCGCGCTTGGCGCCTTCGGTGACCGCGGAGCCGTCAGAACCTTGGATCCCAGTCTATGGGTCTGTCTGAAAATAGGGTATACCCGCCAAATCGCTATTTTAAGAAAACGATGATAATCCAATGGATGTAGGGCTACTGTAGGTACACTATTTTCAGAGAAACCCATATGATAATAGGGCTACTGTAATTTGGAGTTGAGTTCCTCCGCTCTGAAAACGATCTACGAGTCCACAGCGCGGTAACAGCGAGAAACTGCCAGCTGTCCAGCATTGTAGCTGCCTGGCTAAAATCTGTGGGGGACCATTCTGAATGGTACAGGATGGGGCCCCATAGTTAGCTAAGTTGTTTATGTATGATACCTATAACTATTTTTAGATGGGGTTATAAACCAACTTATAACTGGGGGGTCCCATCCTGTACCAAAGAAAATCATTTCGGGGGGGAGCCCGGGGCTCAAGTCCTGGAAATGGTTTCTTCAGTACCCAGCCCATCAGTCGCAAAGTTGATATAAAATGATATAAACACTTGTCCCAATCCATTCAAACATGAAACAAAAATACATTGCCAATCCAAAAATGATAGAACTGTTTAGTCGGCTATATAGATAGGCATGGCAAAAATGGACCCATCAACGAACCAACCGTTTTCCTTTCGGAAGCATTGAGTAGTCAATGTGGTGTACTTATATTTGCTACCCTCCTTTCTCCACCAACCGATTTACCCCAAAAAAAGAGAATCATTCTGCTCAATCTCCGCATTGATTGCCAGCGATTCTCCCCCATTAATCCCTTCCCCTTATTACTAACCCTCCCCCCCAAATAATAAAGACTAGGGTCCATCTCCAATTTTGGAAAATTTCAGATTGGCCAATTCGACTTTAAATTGATTCCCTTTAGAAAACAAATTTAAAAATAGAGCTACATACAATTTGGGGATTTCGCCCCCTAATAATAAAAACTAGTCAACCCCAGAGTGTTTATTATTAGGGTCCGTCCGATCTTTTTTAGTTTTTTATATTAGGGCTTTTAATTTATTATTAGGGTCCGCTTCGAAATCCAATTTTTGGCAATATTTTGATTGCGTTATATAAGGAAATTTAACTGATATTGAAATCGGAAAAGATAGTTTTTATTATTAAGGTGTTAAATTTATTCATAGGGTCCGCTTCGAAAACCAATTTTTGGCAATATGTTAATTGCGTTGTATAAGGAAATTTAATTGATTTTGAAATCGGAAAAAATAGTTCTTATTATTAAGGTTTTAAATTTATTAATAGGGTCCGCTTCGAAATCCAATTTTTGGCAATAGTTTAATTGCGTTATAAAAGGAAATTTAATTGATTTTGAAAGCGGAAAAAATAGTTTTTTATTACTAAGGTTTAAAATTTATTCATAGGGTTCCCCAATAATAAATACCCCCCTAGTAATAGAAACTGCCTGAGGTGTTTATTATTTGGGGAGGGGGGGGTTAGTATTAGGGGGAAGGGATTAGTGATTAGTGTGATTTTTTGTCCCGCCACTGCCAGATCATATACAATAGCTGGAGATCCAATATCCCTCCATGAAAATGGCTCAAAATCCACCCACGAACCTTTGGGTTGTCTAAATATTGGGCATGTCCCAATTTATGGACGCCCATTTTGGGTCAACTACCTACTAGTAGAGGGTAAACAATTCGAGCCAAACATGAAAGCTGGAACTTTCAAAAAGTCATTCCTTGAAAAAAAATAATCCCAGCTATCATCCCATCATAATCCCATCTAATCTCTGCTAAAACCCATTGAATTCCCATCAAATCCTATTGGATCCCCAGTAAACCACCATGAAACTCCAGTTACACCGAAACTCCAGTTAAACCCCCACTCCAATAAGATCCCCATTAAACATCATGAAACCCCCAATGAAATCCCTCCAAAACATGGCACCTCCTTGACCCAGCCACATCCCGGGTCTCCACTGGTCCCATCGCCTCGCAAAGCGCCGCTGCGGGGCGCGCTCCTGGGGCGCCGTACAGCCTGGCCATTGAGTGATACGCTCGTTGTTGGTTGGTTGATTGGTTGATTTGCAGCGAGATAGAGAGAAAGAAACATATATATATACACATCTGTGTGTGCATGTAGTACATAGATATATGACATATATATTATTGGGGTGAGAGAGAGAGAGAGAGGCAAAGAGTGAGATTGAGATTCGCGCTGCTCATTAATCACTAGAATTCTTACTCTCTTGGGATTTCGCCAAGAAAATCATAGTATGCACACAGTAGCCCCCATGCTAAATTTAAAGATCACTCAACCAGAACCCATGGCTGCCAGGCCATTCAAAGCGACCCTTTTCATTCTTGGCTTTAGATGAAAATGGTCACCAAATGAACTAACTGCTTGGTGTGTAACTGACTTTTTGTCTGGGCCCCAAACTCCTGGTGGTTGATCCTCAGTTTGGCAAAGACAAATAACTTGTGGTCATCTGTTTTGTTTGTCCATTGGCAATGAAGCTGAAGAGAAACCAGGTTGTCCATCGGGTTGTCCAAAAATAGGGTAATCCCCACACCCCAATCCAATTTTTGATGGGACAACTGATTATTCATCATCAAATCTAGCGGGTACACCATTTTCAGACAAATTTTGGTACATCATATCATTGGTTGTTCCAAAAATTTTCGTCATATCCTAATTTTCATGTATCAAACCCATTGATATCATTTGATATCCCCATTTTAGATGGCGAAATGCCAGTGATTGTTGCTTCCATCCCTCAAGATATCCCCCTACAAAAACACGAAAGTCACGGACAAAGCCACCACACCCAGCCTGCGACAGGCTGCTTACAGCCACAGGTTCCATGGCTTCCACGGGCGAACTGAAGGGCTCCTGGCCATCAGGGCCCGGAGTGGCCAATGTTCATAAACCCCCGCGAGAAACCCTTGCTATGTTTCGGTGCTTAGATGGTCCCAATGTGTTATGGTAAATCTATCCAACCGTTTGCTGGAAAGATATCCCACGTTCGTTTCTGGGAAATCGGAGTTCGCTGGTCAAAATCTAATGCTGCTAAACATCCCAATTTTTGCTGATGTAGATTCCAGTTTCGCTCTGAAAAAAATGCGTCAAAACGATGTCCGAAAGTGAGTGTTTAGAGGCTTGCTGCTAAAAATCCATTTGAAGCGTTTTGCACGGTAATATTGTCCCACTAAATCATATTCACCCAGAAAATTGCAGCAAATTGTCAATTGTGATGTTTCACATAAATCCCTGGGTAAAAATCCGAAAATCCAGGTGAGTGTTCGAAGAAATTCCTTGGGCAAAATCCATCAATTCTACAAAATTCAAGGTATGAATCCTCCAAATCAATCCACGTAAATCCAGAAAAACATAGGTTTAAAAGTGGGAGTCATCCAGAATTTAAAAAATGGGTTTGGTCTGAAAATCGGGTACCCCTAAATCCCATTGGATTATCATCATTTTCCCTTCCGCAGATGCCGCAGATAGCTAGAATTGGGGTATACCCTATTTTCAGACACACCCAAATTGAGAATCCAAGTATGTATATATATATAAACCTACAAAATCGCAGGTCGATTTCTCCATTTTTTCTCCCTTCAAATCACAGTTCCCAAGCGAAGGACCTCTGCTACACGCTTGCGGGCCGTGAAGACCCAAGGTGTGGCGCCCTGGCGAAAAGGGAGAAAGGTGGGAGTTCACTAGCAAGCATAGTGGTTTTATCAGCAAACATATTGTTTCAATCATCAAATTATCAGCAAACTGGAAATTCAGCACCAAAACTTTCGGATGCAGCCAAGAATTTTCACGAGCAATAGCGGTTTAATCAGGCAAAACCATGATGTATCCATTGATCCCATAAAACTACTGTGCTATCCGTGAGTGCGCTCTATTAAAGCTCTTGATGGACTTCGGGGATCATCACAGGAGACGAGGAAAGGTCGCCATGAGATCTGGCACCATGACTTAGTATTGAAACATATGGTGACTTGGGGATCGCCCATTTTCAGAAACCCCCAGAGGTTTGCCCATGAAAAATTGCCATATTTTTTTCGGCACATCCCCTGGCCTCTTGTAACGTCCGCTGCGGAGATGAGAACTCCTGCCACTTTCAGCAGAGCGTGGGGAGCTCCAAAAGCTCCTTTTTACCGGAGGAAAATTTGGCCCAACTTCTGACCATTTCATGTGAAAAAGATGGGAAAAGTAGTTCTTCAAGCATGAGATGTCCAAATGTCTCGACTCCTCGGCATCCTCGGAAGCCAAAGCCTGACCGATGATTCGATGGCTGTTTGATGGGGTGTTATGGGATATATATATAACCAACAATATCATCAAACCGGTAAAGCCAAGATGAACAGCTGCCCATATGCTATCATCCTTGCTTCCTTTGGACCCCACCTAGTGAAGATTTAAAGAACGATCAAACATATGTGGCTCGATGACTTCTTGAGAGAACTCAAGCCACCCAATCATGGGAGAAGTTCAAGATGGGTTCCATGAACTGCATTGCAGTAAAGGGAAGCGCATGGTTTTGTTGTTGTTATTGGTTTACTGGAGGCTACTTAGGAGTGCAGTTCATAAGTGGTTATATACCCATAATTATCGGGGGGCAAATCCCAAGTTATGGAGGTTATCACCATGGTTGCATTTATTAGTAATGTCACTGATGTCGTAAACCCAATAATAAACCATCGCATTAACCGATCATTTGGGAGTCATTTTACAGTATCCCTTTGCTAGGTGTATACCCAATTTCATAAACCTCTATTTGGGACAGTTTATGATATTGGGTCTACGACATTAATCCCAACCGCGCAATAATTTCACAACCAGTTAGTGTAACTCATTATTTCATACCCAATCAAAAGGGTATAACTTTAATGGCTCACATACATCCGAATCTAAATCCCAATATGGGAATTTCCACAAATGGGGTACCCCAAAATTATAATGGAAAATCCTAAAATAGACTATTCAGGGGTATCCCCATTTTAGGAAACCTCCATATAGGTTCCAATATAGATCCCATGAAGTCCCATGAAGTATGACTATAATGGTTCATTCAAATCTAAATCCCAATATCAATTCTAATAAAAAATCCAATATAAATCCCATAATTCCAGAATAAATCCCATGAAATCCCAAGTTCTCATTACTTGGCGAACCCCGCCTGCTTGGCCGTCTGCAGGAGCGTCACGATCCCAGCCATCGCCTCCAGTCGCCGACGGGTGAGACGGTGAGACCTGGAAAATGGCGGCCAAAGATTTAAAAAAAAAACAATAAACAAGAAAAACAATATTATAATAGTAGTATAATACTAATCACTAATAATTATACTAATAGTAGTAGTAGTAGGACTAGTAGTAGTAGTAGTAGTAGTAGTAGCAGCAGTAGCAGTAGCAGTAGCAGTAACAAAAATAATATAGTAATAATGACAATAATATATGATAAGAACACAACGAATCCTCCAACATTAAACCACATTCTACCGGGTTTTCTGGTGGTATTTATGGCACAAGGGAAATGGCAAAAAACCCGTGGAAATTGGCCACAAGGTCAGCTCAAAGTAGCTGCAAGTTGTCCCTCACCCAGCATTCCGACCCTGCCAAACCTTGTCGTGAAAACGATTGAAATCACTGGCTCGGCAAAGCAGACTGTACCACTTTTCGACCTGCGGTCGTGAGGGTTTCAGCCACTAAAACAGACCGCCAAGTTGGGGGGCATCGTGCCGCCGAAAGATGGCGAATGAGTTGACTAAATGATTACAGTATGTGGTCTGTTTTTTTTTTTCAATTTTTTCCTCCTCTTCTTCTGCTCCTTCTTGGTTACGTCGAGTTGTCGAGTTGTCCAGAAGTTGATTCCTCCATCGTTGCCTCCTCTTCCGCGAAGGTCAAGGACATGCGCCGCCCACCTGACAAACTACAAGACACCCTTGTTGGCTGATTTTTCGGGAGTTTTACTGCTGTATCCAATCTTATATCATTGGAGATCATCATCATCATCATCATCATCATCACCATCATCATCATCATCATCGTCGTCATCGTCCTCGTCATCCTCATCGTCATCATCATCGTCATCACCATCATCATCATCATCATCATCCTCATCCTCATCATCATCATCATCATCACCATCACCATCAGCATCATCATCATCATCATCCTCATCCTCATCCTCATCATCATCATCATCATCATCATCATCACCATCACCATCAGCATCATCATCATCAATCATCATCATCATCATCATCATCATCATCATCATCCTCATCCTCATCCTCATCCTCATCCTCATCCTCATCCTCATCGTTGTCATCATCATCATCATCATCATCATCATCATCGTCGTCATCGGTTCACTGGGAATCCCGTTCTTTCCTAGCAGTGTAAAGGGATGAGACTGTTTTTTGGACGAAAGCATCGCCCGGCTTGGTGGGGATCAAGATTGGAAAAGTGGATCATTTTTCACTGCGACTTGGGGTGTTGACACGAGAAATAATGTCCTGTAAATTGAGTGCCCTGGAAATTCTGCTCTCTACACTCCACAGTGTGAAATCTGAACAGAAAGTGGTCCGTTGGAATGCTACAAGATCGGATGGATTTGAGTAGATACTCAATCCTGCAGGTCATCTATCCTTATTTTGAAAAGTAAGACCCCAGATTTTGCTCGTGTGCCCACTACATGCCCCACTATCCTTGTTGGTTGTGTCACCATTCTATACTTGATACCTTTGGCCTGTTTGCAGGTTAGATTGCCATTTTTGCAACTCAAATCCACACTTGTTTGGGTTGCCTCACCCCCTCAAATCATGTCGAATCACCTGCCATGGTCAGGGAGCACTGCCGGCCATTTCTTTGGACCTTCAAGTGGGTTGCTGGAAGGGCACGGTCCCAAAATATGGAGATTCACCCACAAAGTAACATCTTGAGCCTGTCAAAATAGGGCAAACCTAGCAAAAATTGTCGCAAGATAGCACTTGAAGCTTACAACAATGGGGATTTAAGCAGAGAAAATGTGGATTTGATCTGTTAAATGGTTTATATCACACGAAAAAGATCTGTATCTTGCCTCCAAACCCAAGAAGGTCAATGATTGATATATGGAATAAACCCCAGTTGAGCAGTGTTCAATACCCTCCGCCATTCCATTTTCCTGGTCGGTTAAGAGCAAGATTCCCAGTGAACCAGGATGATGATGTTCCTCAATGAATATTGGATAGTATAACCCCAGCAAAAAAAGAAAAACATCAACCAACATGAGTTTTCGTAGCCACTACTCATACGGTGTTAACCGACAAAATATGGGACGTTGCAATAAAATAATCAACAAAAATGGGGGAGCTCAACCAATAAACCCCGGTCATAGTAATCCCAAATAAAGGATGCAAAAGTGAAAATAATCAGTATTTTGGTAGGATTCTATGTTTCTATCCTTTTTGCTGATCACTATGAAATAAATAAATATATATATATATACAGATTTATGTGTATATATATATATTTATCTACATATATATATAGATATATATAGATAGATAGATAGATAGATAGATAGATAGATAGATATTTATATACGTATATATATATACATATATATAATAAGGGTGTATATATATATTATAAGGGTATATATATAGAAATAGATATAGATATATAGTGAACATATATATATATATATGGGCCATCAATCACTACGGGCTATCCCTGCTAACATCCACCCTTTTTACGAGCGCCTGCACCTCCTGCAGTAGGACGGCATCTTCGACCTTGGACCTCGGAGCGGTAGGAAAGCCATGGTAAACAGCGCCGTGGATTGTAATGGTTACAGTAGGCCAATGAAAACCATAGGGATATGTTACGGTGACACATTTCCAGATTTCCCAATTTTTATGGTTTAGTAATATGATCATTAGTAATGATCGTTAAAGATGGTAATGATAAAAACAATCATCTATGACAGTCATTGAGTCATTAGTGATAGTTTCATGGTTAATGGTAAATACATCGCTAATGATAGCCATCATTAGTTTCATGATCTTTTTCTTGTAATATGATACGGCTAGGGCTCATGGTAACTAACAATCGCTGGGCTCCAGGACGGATCCACTGGATCCATAACGCGGGAGCCTGTGGCACTGGAGACCTACCGTTACCTTCCAACGAATAAAAAAAATGGACGTATCACATAATAATCAGATTATCCCGGCAGGAGACCCCAAACAGGGTCGGGGGAGTAACAAGGTCATGCATTATAATCTTGATGATGATGATGATGGTGATGATGATGATGATGACGATGATGATGATGATGGTGATGGTGATGTTATAAAGTTGGTGACAATGATGAAGCTGATGAAGATGATGATGCTGATGGTGATGACGACGATGATGATGATGGTGATGATGATGATGATGAGGATGAGGATGGCGATGAGGATGACGATGAGGATGAGGATGATGAGGATGATGGTGATGATGAGGACGACGAGGAAGATGAAGGTGATGATGATAACGATGATGACGATGATGATGCTGATGATGATGGTGATGAAGAAGATGAAGATGAAGATGAAGATAAAGATGAAGATGAAGATGATGATGATGATGATGAGGAGGAGGAGGATGAGGAGGAAGAGGAGGAGGAGGATGAGGATGAGGATGAGGATGATGATGTTGAGGAGGAAGACCGATCCCAAGACCGGGAAGCACACTTTGCGCAAGCCTGCGCAGTCGAAATGCACATGGACATGTCACAAGAGGCATTTTGTGCAGAAATTTTCCGGGAAAATGCCAAACGCCCCGGATACCACCTCAGTTGAACACCGGGCCTTAACACTTACCGTAAGAACCCCTCTGTGTGGCCACACTGTTTGGGGAACAACTATTGGAAAAGAAAATAAAAAAGACAGAAACGCGTACGAAATCAAAAGAAAATGATTTTGATTGGATAGATTCATCAAGTATTAGACGGATTGTATCTCAATCATTAAAGCACTGGATTTGGAAAGATGTGTTCGTTTGCTCTTCCAAAAAACAGATCAGGTCCTAGGTTTGAGGGTGCTTAGCTCGCGGTCACGGTGGGGTGATGGTGAGTTTTGAAAAGTTGTTGGAAAAAAAGTAACAGAACGTGACACACAAGAAAAAACAACACCCAAAGAGACTAAGCATGGAATAGATTCACGGCTACCAACATTGGTAGAGATATCGAAACCCATTTTCGCGGGCGACCAGAGTCAATTTCTGCCTACGTCTCGACAGACGAAGAGGAGATTTCCCTGGAGAACCACCTGGGCTGTGGAAAAACACAACTGGAGATAGAGTTTAGATTGAAACACAAATACCCTCTGGTAATCTAACATTGCTAGTGAAAATAGCCATTTACAGTTGATTTACCCATAGCTGGTCATTTTCCATACTTATGTTAGTTTACCAGAGGGTAACAGACCTTGAAAAGATAAACATTCCCGATTCTGTTGACCATTTGTATTTCTCCACCTCTTGCCCCTTCTCAAACTCGCAAAAGACCCAAAATTGGATGCTCCCAAATTGGGTTGGCTTCAGATCCAGAAAAAAGTGAACAGCCATTCTTGCGCAAAGGGGTCCGCGCAGTTGGGAGCCCCACACGCCGAGTGCAGGGAAAATAGCCTCAAGAGTCCCACAGGAGTACTTGGATATGGATTACACTTAGTGTACCTTAGTATATTTACTGCATATGGCTTGGGAAGACATAGTTGCTGGGATGCATCCTAGCAGCCGGTTAAGGCAAGCCCGAAGTGTGCCCATCAGATTAAAGTGAGAGATCCTTGAGACTACCAACATGTTTCAGAGACTCCGAAATGCACTGACGCGCCACCAAAACAAAATAGAACTTTTAATTGCGAACCATATGGTTCAAGTAGCCCCAGTGGAGACACACCCAACCGACAAACGAAGGGGGTTCAACCCACCAAACTTATGAATGTATGCAATCGGGACACTGTGAAGAGACACACCCCAAACCAGAAGGAAAATGACAAAACTAGAATGACAATCTGGTATTCAAAAGCACCAGCCACATGATTGCCCTTTGCAAATCCAACTTTGGCACTGGAAAATCCCCCAGTTCTACCAGAAAATTAATTATATAGATAAGATATGGTTTTCACCCACCATTTGTAGATCATGTTCCAAGCAGGAAAGAACCCTGGCATTGAAATTAACCTCAGTTGCTTCAACCTCTTGAAACAGCAGTGGATGCTGGGAAGATCAAAGGGTAGACACCGTTTCTCTCTTGAAACCCGCTAAATGTCTATCGAATTCTTTCCATCCCCCTTAGTTCCAGGCCGCTGCGCAGACGGACCTGAGTTGTCTGAAACATGGTGGGGAAAGGCCCTAAATCCACTGGTAAAACTCTGCAGATCGTTGAAATTCTCAACACATCCCAGTAACAAGTGGTTTCGTTTATCAGTGGTTTTCCCTCTAGATGGGAGTCACTCCCTATTTCTATGGGTGAAATCGCCCGAGCTCATCGGTTCAATATGTTCAATCACCATCATTCTTGGTGAAATGACCAGTCTTGTTGGTGAAATCCACCTTTTCTGGGGTGAAGTCACCCTTTGTCGTCTTCTTTGAACTCCAGGGCTCCGGCTGTGGTACTCTCCGCCGGGACGCCAAGCTGAAGATCCACTAGTTCCTCTTGGGTTAACCGCTCATTTTGGAGGGCTTTCGAAAGGGTTGCCCCATTGAAGACACTTTGGAATGGGGTTTCATAAGCTCCGTTGTTGAGGGGTTGCCTTTGGGTGTACCCTTGGATCTCCGTGATATCTTCATATGGAGATCTCTTTAGACATGGATATATGGATGCAGGTGGGCAGAAGACTTGGTGAACTTGTAGAACATCCACTTCTTGGGGTAGCCAACTTTGACCCATAGCCAATTTTCTACATCTGGATCTGCGCATATTATATATATATATGTATACGTACATATCCGCCGACCCCGGCTGATGCAAGGGGGAGCGCGCCAGGGAAGAAGAGGAGTAATAGCATCTAGGGTTTTAGAAGCAACGTTAGGCACTTTTCCCGTTTATAGGGGTTTCACGAACATGGGAAAGAAAGAGCACGCAAAAGGAGAAATGCAAAATACACAACAATGCATTTTTTTTACTTCAAAGCTACGCGCTAAAGACAACTAAATATGTCCTTGTTTAGATTTGCAGAGGCAACCTTAAGGTTTCTAGAATTTCAGAAAGGACGTTAGGCATTTTCCACCATCACCAACAACATCAATATCAACACCAACGCCAACAGCAACACCAACACCAACAACCATGAACACAACCAGAACCAGAACTAGAACCACAACCACATCAAGATTTTTGCTCGGACGTTAGGCACTTTTTCCGTGTGATTTTGTGGTTTCTCCGTCCTTCACTGCCATGGTGCTTTTCTTTGGGGGGGCAAACATTTTGAATTAGGCACTGTTCTCGTGTAGCCTAGCAAGTAGAGCAGCGGTTTGGGGGGCTAACATTCTGGATTGAACACTTTAAGCTCGTGTAGCTAAGCAAGTAGAGCAGCAGTTTGGTGCTTTTGGAATGTTTCTCTTTTTGTTTTATTGGGATTCAGAAAGGACGTTAGGCAGTTTTTCCGTGTGATTTTGTGGCTTCTCCGTCCTTCACTGCCATGGTGTTTTTGTTTTGGGGGGCTAACATTTTGAATTAGGGAGAATTTTCAAAATGCGGGCAACATGGCCGAACCCGTCGTTGGAGATAGCAACGGTGTCGCAATTGTGCGGTCGCAGTAGTCTTTTGCAAACCGATTCGATTGCCCGTCCATTGCAAGGCGAGGCGGTAATGAATTCCTGGTTGCAACTGTATCTTCTTATCTGGGTCCGTTTGCGGCAGCCCTTAAATTCGGCTCCGCCGGCTCCCCACGAGTGGCTTGCCCTACGAGCGTCCCAGAGCGACTAGAGCTCTATGGTGAGGCGCGCCCCAAACCGCCGACCTCCAACCCCGGGCCCCGTAAAGCATCAAAAATCCTTCAATTGAGCGGGGGAAGCTTTTGGATGGAATCCAGGTCGGTCATAAGCGTCTCCAAGAGCATTCCCCCGCCCCCCCCCTATTTTGAGGGTACCTAAAATCGAAAAAAAGTCCCGTTTTGACACATTTTTCGGACGATTTTTAAATTTTCGAAAACAAAAAAATGCTATATATTATAACATTTTTGAGTTTTAACGTCTTTTGCGGGAAAAATGCAAATCGTAGAAAATGCTGAAATACCAATACTTTTTTTGACTAGAGATGCACAAAACACTGCAAATACCAATGTTTTTTGAAGGTGGGAAAAAAAAAAACCTGTGAATTACAGCATGTTTTGGCGGGTAATGCTGGTATTTACACACTTTTTGCAATGTCAAGAAAACGTGGAAGGCGCGAAACACTGTAAATAGCGGTGCTTTGGCCACTTTTGGACGCTGAAACGTTGGTATTTACGCAGTTTTTTGCCCGTGACGGCGCCAAACCCTTGTAAATTACTGTTTTTTGCATTTTTTGAACACCTTTTTTGTTCGGATGAACGCAAAAAATGCTGGTATTCACGCGTTTTTCAAACAATCGAAAATCGTGACGTGAACGAAACCCTGTAAATAACCAGATTTTAGCCACTTTGGGAGACTAAAACTGTGGTATTTACGCGGGTTCTTGCCATCTGACAGCGCAAAATGCTGTAAATCACAGCACTTTGTGTGCTGTTTATGTTCAATTTTTAAAACGAGCGATGCTTTCACATGTTCTTGGCATTCTTCAACAAGAAACGACGTTACAGATTGAAACTAGGCAACAGCGTGGCCCGAAAGAAAGCTGGAGAGAGGTGAGGATCTTTTACACAGACTTGTTTACACACAGAAGCTTTTACGCACAGAAGCTTTTACACAGAGAAGTCTTTACACAGAGCGGCTCTTAGACAGAGGCTTTTACACACAGAAGTCTTTATACAGACGGGCTTTTACACGCAGAAGCTTTTACACAGAGAGAAGTCTTTACACAGAGGAGCTTTTACACACAGAAGCTTTTACACAGATGCGTTTACACAGAGGAGCTTTTACACGCACAAGCTTTTTCACATAGAAGCTTGTATACAGAGAAGCCTTTACACAGAGGAGATTTTACACACAAGGGCGTTTACGCACAGAAGCTATTACACACAAACGCTGTTACACAAAGAAGTCTTTACACAGAGAGCTTTAACACACAGGCGCGTTTACAGACAGAAACATTTACACAAAGAAGTCTTTACACAAAGAGCTTTTACACACGGAAGCTTTCACAAACAGAAGCTTTTACACAGAGAAGTCTTTACACAGAGAAGCTTTTACACGCACAAGCTTTTTCACACAGAAGCTTGTAAACAGAGAAGCCTTTACACAGAGGAGCTTTCACACGCAGAAGCTTTTACACAGAGAAGTCTTTACACAAAGAAGCTTTGACACGCAGAAGCTTTTACACACAGAAGCTTTTACACAGAGAAGTCTTTACACAGAGGCACTTTACACGAAGTGGAAAGTTGAAATTGGCAGCAATTCTTTAGGAAAAACCCTTCACAGGAGCTTTCGGGAACAAGCCTTCCCCACTTGCTCCAAGAAAAAAATCGCCGATTTCCAACAAAGTTCCAATTCCATGATTTTATGAATATGCTGAATATGTTCAAAAAAGCATACGGAATATATTTCTGAAGCAGGTCCTCATTCCATAGCTTTCAAGCCCACCCTGCGATGCAATCGAGGGTCAAGTAATCCGGCGGAGCCGACGAAGAGCGTCAGCTCCAAAATACAGTATGTGTGTATAGAATAACGAAGAATACCATGATCACTCAAACTTCCCTTTAAAAATGAGGACCTCGATCAGCTGGGATCATCCTTATGCCTGAAGGATAGATCTTACTCCGCATCTCCTCATTGCAACCACCTCTTGCCATATCGCGACTGGTATCTTTTGCCGAATCCGACCCTCCAAACCATAGGATTCCTAAAATTGCCGCGATAACTCGTGGTTGTTCGGGGGCCCAAAGCTCAAAAACTCCCACATGGGGAGGGTTTAGTGCCCCTAAAAGAGCAGGAATGGAATTCGCATCAACAGAAATATCAGAAATATCAGAAACATTCGTGTGATTTCACACATACATTGATTTTGCAAGAGACTGGTCCACAATATTGCACAGGTCTGGAAATTGAGCCTTTTTTTGGATTTACGGTTGCTTGCTTGAGCTTCAAAAAGCGGCAGGGTTGTGCTGGAAATGCAGCATACTGGTAGCTTCGGGAGATTCTAGTCTAGGCTTCATCCAGCAAGCATCTGCAGGAACTGTAAGCGAAGTACAATCAATTTTATTTGTTGGAGCATCAAATGAGCTTCGCAAGGATCTGCACTCCGCCATTGAGAACAGGCTTTGGATCCTTGTCCTGTACAACACACTTCTTCAACAACTAACTGCGTCCATTGCTATCCATCGGCGCATCCAAACGTGGGAACTAAGAATTTGATGATCCCGGTGAAAATGAACCACAAATCGCCAGCCTTTTTCCATGGCAACTGATCTATCTGGTCGCTGCACATTGGTGAAACCCCTTTTCAACTGCCACTACGGCGGCATGGAAATGGGTCGTCATGGTCATTGGATTGGTATTGTCGGGAAAGGTTGCAGGAAATCATGGTCTGCCATCAAAATAGAACGGACTTTCTGCGATTCTTCCCTTGAACCAATTCTGGGACAAAAATCTGGATCAAGGTTGAAAATTCGGCACGCACAAATCCTGTTTAGAAAATCATGTTCCCCCATTATTCAACGGCCATGCTGAATGTGGTGGGGATATTCCCCCCATGTTTGAAACCCACATCTTCAACCGTTGCGTCAACCGTTGCAAGACATGTGTGTTGGATCCAGCAGATATCCATCTATTGAGTCTATTGGAAGCTGCATGACCGAATGATCAACAGGGGCCCCAGACATGGATGGCCAATTAGAGATCAAGATGTTCAAAATGAGTGATGAGTGTCTAGAAAAGCCAGTTTTGTGCATGGAAAATCCACAGAACTCAATCTGGCCCAAACCACCAGTAGCGGCTCTACAAACAGCCATGGCACTTGTGCCAAGCCACACTGAAATAACATCTGGTCAAATTTCATGGCATCAGGGCCCAAAAGGCCGGTCAGCTGTCAGGGCTTTTTGGGTTAGAAACGCTTGGGAGAAGATATTGTATTTCTAGCCCAGGACTACTCTCGTAGATTGACTTTAAAATTATATAAAAGGGAACTGTTTATTCAGTTTGTTCCCCTTGTTCACTTCACCCCTGAAATGGTCCCTTACCTCCGACATGACTGACAAAAAGCGAAGACAATTCTTTGATTGGCCAAGGTTCTTCAAACATTCGTTGTTGCAGTATGAAACTTGACCAGCAACCTGTGGAATGCGCAACCTGTCCACATGGGTCCTATCCTATCTGACAGCTTGAAAACACCGTCAAAAGTGCGGTTGCTTGCCATTGCTTATCCTCTGGTACAAGCAAATTTAACGTAGCTATGGAAATCCCCATCTTTTCATAGGTAAAATCATCTACAAATTAAATGGGCCATTTTCCGCGGCTCCAGTTTTGGATCGGCAATGATCAAAGTTTGCTAAGACTCGAAGTAAAACCACCTCGGCAAGAATTTGGTGGTGCACCAAATGACAACTTTGAGTTCCTCGAAATGAATATAGAATCCTTACAGGTAAACTGCTCCTACCTTTGTCATTTAGAAATCCCCAAAAGTGCTGCCCCAACTGTGGACCTGTGAAACTGCTCGGGGACTCAGCGGAAAAGACCTCAGAGGGAGCGGGTGGCTTGAGTGGCTTTTGATCAATAGGCACTCCTGTGGGGAAAAAAAAAACAGCAGCCAAAATGGACATGCGTCACACACAGAAAGCAGTGACTTGAGCAGCCCAAATGGCTGCTGTTCACAAAGAATTCTGGCTATCTCACCATCCCAACTCGTCAGAAAACACTGAAAGCGCTGCAGGTTTCTTTCCATGGGTGGAGGTGCGATCCATTTCATAAGTACAGGGGGTGGTAAACATCCTAATTAAGCATCACCCAAGCGTTGGGGATAATCTCCCAACAGACACTTGAAGGTGATGCTCAAAATCCCTAAAAAGGGACATGTGCAAATGCCTGTAATCTGATAAATGTGTGTGCATATAAATTGGAGATTCTCCGCAGCTAGGGAATGCTCAACTAACATATCAAAAATATAAATCGTATGGTGCGGATACCCAGTAGAACGGAGCTAAGGAAAATCACCAATGTCATAGGCAAATCATCTACAAATGGGCCATGTTCACTACTTGAAGTTACAGGAGGCAGCCACATCGGATCCGGCGGTGACAGTATACTCTCGCCATCGCCATGGAATATTCATCTATGAATCAAGAGATAGAATGCCCTGAGACAAGCAGTCTTTCACTTGAGGTATAGGCATATGTAAATCAGATGCCTATCATTAGATTACGTATGTATGTATGTATGTATGTATGTATGTATGTATGTATGTATGTATGTATGTATGTATGTATGTATGTATGTATGTATGTATGTATGTATGTATGTATGTATGTATGTATGTATGTATGTATGTATGTATGTATATGTATGTATGTATGTATGTATGTATGTATGTATGTATGTATGTATGTATGTATGTATGTATGTATGTATGTATGTATGTATGTATGTATGTATGTATGTATGTATGTATGTATGTATAGTTGTATAGTTGTATAGTTGTATAGTTGTATAGTTGTATAGTTGTATAGTTGTATAGTTGTATAGTTGTATAGTTGTATAGTTGTATAGTTGTATAGTTATATAGTTATATAGTTATATAGTTATATAGTTATATAGTTATATAGTTATATAGTTATATAGTTATATAGTTATATAGTTATATAGTTATATAGTTATATAGTTATATAGTTGTATAGTTGTATAGTTGTATAGTTGTATAGTTGTATAGTTGTATAGTTGTATAGTTGTATAGTTGTATAGTTGTATAGTTGTATAGTTGTATAGTTGTATAGTTGTATAGTTGTATAGTTGTATAGTTATATAGTTATATAGTTATATAGTTATATAGTTATATAGTTATATAGTTATATAGTTATATAGTTATATAGTTATATAGTTATATAGTTATATAGTTATATAGTTATATAGTTATATAGTTATATAGTTGTATAGTTGTATAGTTGTATAGTTGTATAGTTGTATAGTTGTATAGTTGTATAGTTGTATAGTTGTATAGTTGTATAGTTATATAGTTATATAGTTATATAGTTATATAGTTATATAGTTATATTAATTCTGCGTCTGGACAGCTTTCCAGAAACCATCGTGGAGACCAAGTTTTGATTTGTCTGTTTACATTATTTCAATAAGTACTTACCTCTATAATCATAACCAATCTATTTGAAGATAAGTGTCAAGTACATGGGTCAAAACCTCTCATACCATTCCCAAAAAAAAGTGTAATTCACATCCATTACATCCCAGCCGAGCCTAAATTTGTTGGCGCCAAAAAAATGGCGACCCATCCCCAATGCCCCAAAAAACACAAAGACCTGGCCGAGCTGCACCGAAAAAAATGGCCGACCTAGTCACCTAGTCGAAACTGAAGGACGAAATGGCAGTGACCTGGCCAGTCTCGGACTGGGAAGGTGATGATCCTCTGGATTTTTCGGGGTACCCCTGTTGAACCAGAAAAAAACACACACAATTGGAGCCACCGAGAGATCCACTGTTTGTTGCTACTGATGAAATTTTGAGGCTCAGATTCAGATTCAATCTGGGAGCATAAGCCTACTAAACTCTGTTATATTTAAGATAGCTATAGAAAATAATGATTTAGGTGGATCATCTAGGAATGGCCATGTTCCATAGCAAACTGTTGATTTTTCCAGAGGCTCCAAGCCCATGGGCCCATGCGAAAACTTCCCGCCGTGGCCTCTTCCTTGACTTCCGCCGGCGCGGTGCTTGCAACGTCGCGACCACCGCCGAACCTCGCTGTGGATGTAAATGGAGGATATCGCAACTACATCACCAAGCGTTTATGCTAGAAATCTATACTTGAGTTAAATGGGTGGGGGAAAAAAAGGAGTTTCCAAAAGGGCTATAACTGGCCATGAAGGGAGGGGGGATTGCTGATGGGAGTTAGTAGGGCCCAGCGATCAAGGTCTATTTTAGGTGCCCAAAATGAAGCTACAGCACCACCATAAGGCCATCAGGTGACGGTGGGTATGCCTTTCCATGAGTTTGAGGAAAAACACCTTGTATTTCATATGTAAAAAAAGGAGATCTATCTCAATGTCAGGTTTAAAAAATGAAACGGATCAGAATTGGGTACCCCGAATAACGTGACTATTGAATTTCTGTAAAGATTACAGGGTATGCAGTTGGGACCCCCAAGGTTGGGTGTGATTAAAAAGTTGGTATCTTCTTCGACGCCAAGATTACTGTACCATGTACAAAATTAATCAGGCTTACTTACATGCAATGTGGGATCATCTGTCGGTTCCGCGCAAAAACCAATGAAATAACAAATGCATGTAATTATAGATAAACAAATCCTTGTCAGGCTGTACAAGCAGCTTTAATAAAGGTATGACAATTTCCGATACTGGAATACTATACATACATACATACATACATACATACATACATACATACATACATACATACATACATACATACATACATACATACATACATACATACATACATACATACATACATACATATGACATCTATCGATCCATCCATCTATCCAGGCTACTGTACCGATCCATCCCTCGATCCATCCGTCCATCCATCCCTCCATTCCTGTACTTAATGTATGTATGTATGTATCTATCTATCTATCTATCTATCTATCTATCTATCTGTCTGTCTATCTATCTATCTATGTATCTATGTATCTATGTATCTATGTATCTATGTATCT